ATTAAAATTCTGCCATAACTGCGACCTATTTTAAAGTTTACAATATTAGCTTCAACACTAAGCAAAATTGCCAGGAGATCGTGACAAATAACGATGGTAACACTACTCGGTCTTTCGGCTTAATAAAAGCTTTGTAACGATGCAGTACTAGCTACCTTCACTTCTTTAACACAGCTAATCTCGTCTGCTCTTGAATCACCATGCAATACTGTGAGGAAAACCTACTGTTTAAGGGGTTATCTGAAGGACAAAAAGTGCTTGTTCCTCTCTTCTGCTTTGAATGCAGTTAGAATGGTCGATCGGTTTTTAATGCATAAATCAATTTGTACTCTGCCACCAAAAAATGCAATCATCCATTTGTCTACTGCAACGAATCATACCATATCGCCATTTAGAACCATAGGTATCGTACAGAATAGCAAACGGCAAAGTAAAATGAACGATATTTTTGCCTGACACTAATCATCATCGGGTGCTCACAGGCGATAAAGGACCGATGAATCAAAAGAATGTCTACAGGAAACCGCGCTGACGAGAGAAAAGCCGAAAAATGATGCAGCAGTGTGAGTACATATGTCTTCTGGTTGAGTGTTCTGTCATTTCCTGTTTCTTTACAGCGAGGGAGACGCAGAGTGTGGTAGAACAGCTACGCTATTCCTATATGAACAAACGTCTGCTTGTGAATCAGAGACAGCCATTGGCTTCAACGCAACAGAGCTCATTTTCTGACCGAATGAACAGTGGCAGCCACCTAACAACTGAGGGGTGGTTGTGACCACCAGTCGGGATTTTATAATAATCAACCAGAGCATTGTTAGCCGACAGTTTCTGGGTTCAAAACGGCCTCACGGCTACCGTAGTAGTTAAAATGAAAAAAACACCATCGTAAGTCACCCCGCCGAGTACTCCCTGCTCCAAGAACGAATGGACGGTTTTAAGGGAGCCTCAGTGTGATAGTCTGTTACAATGCCAGAAACGGTTGACCACTAAGTCCCGGTGAAAAACGAGCGAGGGCTTCTTACATTGGTAGTCATATGCCTACTTCATTGTTTCTGTTGCGACAATATCTTCTGAGTCAGTCATCGGCTTAATGAGCCGATGTTGGGTCAACATCACTGGATATTAATCAGGCTCAAGGGGGCTGAAAGTATCAAAAGCATCTGCAGGTAGATCCGTTCACAAGTGAATGATATGGCAAGAAATGAAACGTTCACCATGCTTGATTTCGTTCACATGCGTGAAAATCTACTCGATTAAGTTTTCTTCGCCACTGTAAAGTACGATTACTTCTGCTTCGCACAATTCAGGTCGCATTAGCCAGCATCACCTAAGATGCCAGTCGCCATCCACGATGTCATAAGTAAAGCATGTGAAAAGCAGATAACAGAAGATATACGTTAAGTATATCACAGCATGTAGTTATCGACTACTTCTTATGTGAAATACCCATTGGTGCAAACCGGCAGGGCTCTCAGCAATAAAATAATGAATTTTCTGCGGGTCTTATCCTGCAGAAAACCAAATTGAGCCCGTTATTCGTATCACACGAAAACGAGTGATATTTTGTAACATCATTAGGTAATCGAGTGCGCTATCATCTTGGACAGTTTTCAGAACCCACTTAAATGTAAACAACAGAAAGCAAATTAACAAACCTCTCGATTATGCACATATACAGTGTATAATGCACTGACATGTTATTAGTTTAGAAACGTGTCTGTTTCTGACGCATATCATGCGCAGTCAATTATTTCAAAATTTAAGTACCTTGTCCGTGTCGTAGATGCCGAGGCGGAGACTGCTGTCTGAAAAGCCCCAGGCAAAGTACCTGAGAAACGTCGGCGGGATGAGATCCTTGTTCTGTTCGGCAGCGAACACAACGCCTTTGTCGTTGACGACGATCTTGCCGACTGCCTGCTTCAGTTCTTTGACGGGCTGTGTCGGTGGCTTCAAGCTGTCCAGACAGTGGTAGAACAGGCGTTCGACGGTGACGCCGAGGGCATACGAATGCGGGTCTACCACCGAGGCCTTCTTCATCGGATGTGGCTTCTTGAACAGCTGTGTCGGGATCTGGCCGAAATTGTTGATGAAGCCAATCGTAGCGTTACGCGTCAGCGGGTCGTCGATCGCCTCGAAGTTCACGTTGCCCTCGTAGAACAAGTAGTGGAAGAGGTTGCGCGCGTCTACCGCAGCGGCGCCCTGCTGCTTATAGCCGAAAATCAGATCGATCCACTCGTGAAGATGGGCTGATACGTAGTCGGACTCCAAGCTTTCGCGGTGCACCCGGATGAATTCAAGCGGGTCGCCTTTCGCCCATGGCGGAAGCACCACGTCCCCCAGCTGAACGCCGTTCTGCTTCACACCCAGGTCGAACTCATTGCTATTGGTTAGAAAGTATGGCAGATAGAAAAACTCTGGAATCAGCTCCTTGACGTCGGCCATGTTGTTGCGAGACGCCGATACCCAAGCATCCTTTATCGAGTGGAACATACGGTCTGCAAGATCAAAGTGGCCTCCTTGTAATTTTAGAAACTGTTGCGTGAATGGTTCTAAACGAACCAGATACGAAAGTACGATCATCGCCGAGGAATAGTGCGTTCCGTACATGTACGGAGGCGTTTCACCTGAAAATCTTTATGTTATCTGAAAGAATATCCAATTTAAAGAAATCAAACAAAGCGGACGTCAAAAGCATACTCATAATCCACGCTTTATTAGAATAACTTAGACTAAGTACTGAGAAGATTCAGGCAAATATGGGTAAAATGGTAAAATCATAAATTCTGCATACACGAGAGTTAACTCTGTTTCAATGAGGTTGGCTAAATTTCAGTCGCGTTATGAGACGTGTTGCGTGCCCAGTATTTTGATGACATGGTATTATTTGCAGTAAGGATTGCTGAAATGTTATCAGTAAAAATAAACACTTTAACTTCAGTCTTATATGCCACATCTATGAAAAATCGAATCAGTAATACATATATTAAATTTCTTTTCAGTAAGCACCAAATGAAATGAAACGGCAAATACTGCAAGTAATTAAAATATTAACAAGAATTTTATTCCTATTGTTCTTTTCAATGACCAGCTTAATATGTTATTTAGGATCTTGTTTATTAAGGAATTTATTAAACAGAAAATATCGTTGTTACTCCCAACGTGTAAACCAATACATAACCTGTATATTAGAAATAAATAGCTAGTTTAAAGTTATACGGACGTCAGATCAAAATATCATACTGAGTGAATCAAACAGATTCTTCAAAGACTAGTTAACAGAACTGTTGCGAATTCTGTAATACATTGTTATCAAATTTAATAGACACTGCTGTAAAGGATGGTAATTAAAGTAAACAGAATATGTAAGATTCAGATTGCAAACATTTAGATCGGTGCTCTTCTACTTCAACTTCCACTTCTTCCACTTCATGTAGAGTACGCTCAGAACCATTTCCTATAGTGACTTACTCATGATGATGTCATATTATGTGATTAGGTAGAACAGAGAGCACCTGGCACCTGCTTCTTCTAATTTCTTAAAAGGATAGGATAAGACCGTGATTCTTCAATCGGAGTAGAAAATAGTCCCTCGCATTTCAT